TTAATTCGTTAAAAATTGTATACTGCTCGTATTGCCTTGGAAGTTTGAGGGTTATGTCTGCTGAGGAATATAAGACTGCTGTAAAATTTTCGTGATTTTTAAAGGTGTTTAGCTATTTTTAAAAATTAAATTGTTTTCTGTTCAGTTTCTTGAAAAATGCATAAAAAATTCATGCCTGACTGAAATGAGCTGAAATTCGAATATGTCGTGCCTCTGTGACTTATATGTGTTGTGTTAAATGTTTAGAATTTTTGGAGTTGGTCTGATGTGGTAAATATTTTATTTATCGTATCTGCAGAAACGTTGTTTGACTTTTTATAAATTGGTTACTGCATGAAAAATTCTGAAATTTTACTGAGAGGCCTATTTTGTGTGTTTAATTATGTTTGTAATATATGGAAATTTTTGGAGTCCGTTTTGATTCATTTTGGGTTTAAATTCGATAAACTGCTGTTGCTCGTTTGAATTTTTAAAAATAGCAGCAGTTATCATTTAAGGCTGAGATTTTTACAAGTGGACTTTGGCATACTGTATGTTCTTGTGTAATATTTTCAAGATCAGATTCATTCATTAAGTCTGAGTATGAATTAATGTGCCTATTTTATTGATATCTTGTTCGAATTTTATAAAATAGGGTGTTTCGAGTTTAAAGCTGAACCTTTGTGGTTTTACATGTTTCTAGGAGATGAAATTTTGTGTAAATTTTCAGAGCTTAATTCGTAGGGTAGCTTGACCTTCTATTTTCATGCGATTAAATGATTTCTATTTTCGAACATGATTTTTATATGAAATTTGGAAATCGACTTTCTTTTTGGTTTTTATGTGTGTTTGACTTGGTCAATCCTTAGATGGATTTGTGTGAACTCCTTTGCGTGTTTTGGTCGAGTTTAGTGCCGAGTCTTAGTGTTCCAACATCCACAGGACTTCACGAACTAATTAGTCGAAACGAGTTCGACTAGGTCTGTCTTATGATTTCCGATTTAAGACGAGATAGATTCTGATTGTAGGATCTTTTCATAATGTAGGTGTTTAGAGGTGTTGACCTCGCCTCGTTTCTGGAATTGTGATTCTGTGAACTGTTGCTGCTATCAGGTGGGTACATTTATGATGTATTCCATATTTATCGCACTCCTTATTTCGTGTAATGCTTTCTTTTGAAAATTATTGTATGCATGAGAACTCTAGTCTAAGTGTCCCGAACGATAGTGCCTTTGACGAATGCATAACAGTGAGAGGTCACCTGCCCATTGTATCCGGGAGGCGACGCCCTGATCCGTGTGAGTTTCGGGGGGGAAAAACATCTTCACTGTCTCCTGGAAAACATCCATGATCCGTGAGTAGTTCGGGGTGGACTCCCATGATCCGTGAGTGGTTCGGGGTGGGGGAAATTTTCCAGTTACGGCCTTGCCGATGAGTGGTCGGAAGGTTTGTTGTATGTACATAGGAGGTTTGTGATAGGGCCGGGTAGGGGGTTTAGGCTATGAATTCTATGCATACGGATACTGATACTGTTTATCGTGATACTGCTTTTAAAATAATTATACGGGATAACTGTGCGATAATGGTGAGCTTGTTGGTTGCTCACCCCCATTGTTTTCTGTTGTTGTCTCATCTTCCTTTCATTAGGTTGAGCTGAGTCGGTGGCGGTGGCGTAAAGACGAGCGAGAGGATGGTCGTTGGTCAAATTATGTTATCGCTATATTATGCTTCCGCCTGTTTATGATTTGTTGAACTGAACCTTGACATGATTCTTTTTCTCGCTTGGATTTGGATATTTAATATGTGTTCATCTCCCTACTTGATTTTTGTATATTGACTATGTGTTATGCATGAACTTGTTACTTAATCATTTGCTTTCATACTTTGGATTAATTCTTGCTTCCGTTTTTGAATTATGTTTAAGTTTTGGTTGAACCTTGTTTCATGCTAGATCTATTTGAATGATTTGAGACTTATGAATTTAAAGGATTATTTAATATCGTTAGTCCGAGCATGTGTAGGTTGGATCGATTGATTGGATGTGTTCATTTGCTGTGGTTAGTAAGTAGCGCCCGTTTCTTGATAAATGTTTTAATTTGGATTTAAAAAAAATAATAATAATAACTCTGATTTTTACTAAATAAATTCGGTAAATTCTTTAAAATAAAACGGGGCGTTACACTTCAAGATAGCATCTCAACAGTTCAAGATTCTGTGGAAACTCCAGGATTCAAACGCAAACGAGCATTTGATCCTTTAGATCTATCTTTGTGAAACTACAGCCATGTTGGGTGGCAGAGTTATGGAGTCTTGTGCTCTTGAGACGCACCCTCTCTTTATGTAATATAACTTTGTATTAGTTGCGAATTCCTTTCTGCTTGTCTGTATTTCCTTTCACTGTTATTTCTGTACTAGCTTCTTAGAAATAGTAAAGTTCTCAACATTGTACTTAAATCCTTGTCTTGCTTTTTACTTTCAATGATATTACCATATGTCAAGTAGATTGATTATGCAAAATATACTTTTCCCGTATACACTTGAATCACACATCAATACTACTTGTTTCTGGACTGAGAAAACTTCTTGATTCAGTCAAGATTCTATACTTCTTAAACTTTACTCAGTTGTGGTCTTGAAACTTTGCCTTGCGGCATTCTAATACCACTAACCATATAACTTAAACAGTATAACCATTAATAAATAGCTATACTAAACTTTAAAGAAATTGATAATTTTCCGAAAACACCTAGCTTGTGCTAGAGTTTTGGTTAATCTTAAATCTCTTTCTTGTTTCTTCTCGCCATTTCTCACTTATGGCTTTAAACTCATCATTTATTATTGGAAATAAATACTTGATCCCAATATATGAAAACTTATCAGTCTTTGCTTTATTGAAAAGACTGTCTTTAACTTTCACATATCCAGATTATTCTTGCTTAACTTCAAAAATTCTTTCTAGAATTTTACATAATCATCTCGTATCTGGAATGTGATACTGATATCTTTTAAGGTTCGATTTCAAGTCTCTAGGTAATCCGGACTTAATAACCCTTATTTCAGGTTTCTATAATTTACCCGGCTATGTGACTATTATATTTCGATACCTTAACTTATACTTATTGATTTCTGAAAAATATTTTGTATAATTGTACTGCCACTAACAAGTACCAATACAAAATAATTTAACTTGATCTTAAACTTTGCCACTTTTTAACTCATGATATCTAACTAATAAGATATCAAAACTTCTGCTTTATAAAGATTGACTATTTTCTTAAACTTTATTTCTACGGTTCAGTTTCAAGCCTCCAGGATCTGATCCGGTTTTTGGTTCTTATTTCAAACCCCCATGATCTTCCCCGTACTTTTGGCTATTATATACTGAAATACTGTTACTTCTTATACTTAGCTCAAATACATTGTCAATCTTTATGTTGATGCTCGAAATTTCATCAACATGGGGGGTTCAGAGGAATTTATTGTGTATTTTTTGTATTAGATTTTTGTGATGATTTTTTGGTGAATTTCTGTATAAAATTAATGAAAAAGATGAAGCAGGCCTAAAACAGAAGCAAGAGGAAAGAATCCCTCTGCAGCACCGCCTCCATTCTTTCTCATTAGAGAGAAAAAATGATTAACGCCCCTCAGACCTTCTCTCGATGATGTCCATCATCGGGGTACTTATATATATGTTTAATGGGCCCGATATTATCACAAGCGGTATTATTTAAGGCCCAAAAATAAAATAATTGATGTAATACATATCCACGTGTAATATTTTAATAGGCTAGGCCAAAATTTGGTATCAACAGTAGGCCCCCGACTTTAGGGCATGTTTTGAATAGAACTGTTCTGAAGTCGCATGTTTAGTTAATTTTAGCCGTAATCAATGTTGGCCGGGTTTTTTGGGACCCGTGGAGCCAATGACGTGAATAGTCAATTTTTCTGGAATTTTAAATGAGGCCTGGATGGCCTAGTCGGGTAATTTGGTACCCATATTTCGCGTTTTTTGCGTGGAACGCGAAGCGTTTGATGTGGTAATAATGATATGGAATTATGTGGGCACTCGGGCCCCCGGAATTGTTACCGGATTCGCGATTCTGTCGTATTAAGACGACGCGATTTTTTGTTTGATTTTTTATTATTTTTCTTTATTATATGGACCTGGTTGGATTATTTGATATCCGGTCTTCGGTCTTTTATTTTTATTAATTATTTCTTGGTCGGGTAGTGTGTTCCCGATCTTTGATGTAGTATGTAGGGCGTTAGCCTTGCCAAACCAACTTCAGGGTTTGGAAAAGATTTTCTTACTATTTATTCATTTAAATTCGGCTTTCTTACTGTGCCGACATCGGTTAGCCGAGTGTTTTTTCGAGATTCGGCCTTTTTATTGTGCAAATGTCGGTTAGCCGAATTATTTTTATTTTATTTTTACCGAGCTGAAGAACTCAGTGTTAAATTTTCTTTTTATATTTTTCCCAGCCGGAAAGGTCTTATTGACTTTGCCTACCAAGTGTGGGTCCTTAAGGAATTTAATGATCCCTGTGAGTAAGGTTTTACATTGCACCTCACCAGCGTGGGTCCTTAAGGATTTTTTGCTTGACTTTTTATGTTCATGTCAAGATGCATGTATGACACACGTATGAATGTATGAATGTGTGAATATATGATGATTTCGTGCAATAAATGATTAACGCACGAAAAACAGTGTTACCTCGATATTTTGTCGAGTCTGACTTTGTTTGCCGGTAGGTGCTCTGCCTTACCGGAATATTGCATATATAGGAACGTCGGTATTTTTTGTTTCCGACTAAAATATTCAGCATTTTATTTTACTCGCTGAATTTTTAAAGGAACGTCGGCAATTTTTATTTTCGACTAAACTATTTTAAGAGTCGGCTAGCCGAATTATATTTTGAGATTCGACTTTTTATTGTACCGACGTATTTTAATGTTGCCCAGCCGGAAAGGTCTTATTGACTTTGCCTAACCAGTGTGGGTGCAGCCGGAGCAGAGGCTCAATGACGAGAAAATGTAAATATCAGCTCAGCCGGAGTCGTGGCGCAACGGTGAGCAAATGTAAATATTAGCTCTGCCGGAGTCGAGGCTCAACGGCGAGCAAATGTAAATATTTACTCTGCCGGAGTTGAGGCTCTACAGCGAGCAAATATAAATGTTAGCTCTGTCGGAGTCGAGGCTCTACAGCGAGCAAATATAAATGTTAGCTCTGCCGGAGTCGAGGCTCTACGGCGAGCAAATATAAATGTTAGCTCTGCCGGAGTCGAGACTCTAGTGCGAGCAAATATAAATGTTAGCTCTGCCGGAGTCGAGGCTCTACGGCGAGCAAATATAAATGTTAGCTCTGCTGGAGTCGAGGCTCAACGGCGAGCAAATATAAATGTTAGCTCTGCCGGAGTCGAGACTCTACGGCGAGCAAATATAAATGTTAGCTCTGCCGGAGTCGAGACTCTACGGCGAGCAAATATAAATGTTAGCTCTACCGGAGTCGAGCCTCTACGGCGAGCAAGTATAAATATTAGCTCTGCCGGAGTCGAGGCTCAACGGCGAGCAATAATAGGACGTCGGCTCAACCGGAGTCGTAGCTCATGGCGAGCCATAATAGGACGTCGGCGAATAAGTGACCTCATTGCTGGTGTAGATAAGTAAATTCGACCCCAGCGTCATTAAATGAACTCGGCCGCGGTATTAATAAGTGCATTCCGCCGTGACATTAATAAGTAAGGCCGGCAATGTGTCTAGCCAACTCTTTATTTTTTATTATTTATTTTTGTTTTTTTTGCTTTTGGGCCGAGTTAAAGTATAGGCCCAAACAGAGTACCCTCAAATGGGTGGTCCCTTTTTCTCGCTTTTACAGATTCTCTCCTCACCTTGTCACAAAATCACGACAAAAACTTTCGGCGTCAGATTAAAAATTCGGCAGCCTAAATTGGAAGCGAGTACCTCGGAGATCAAGGACGTCAAAGTCGGTTCCGGCCGGATTTCGCAGCTCGGTCCGCCTACCGAGGTCTCGACAGGGTGAGGTCGGCGGCTGCTGTGAAGTCGTTACCGGCGATTTACCGACGATTTAAGAAGTCGGCTGTTGGTAAAGTCGACAATCAGCGAGTAAAGATCCAGGCCGTTGACCGAAGTCTATCGGTCCCGACAATTGCAGTCGGGGATATCGGAGAAGCCGAGGTCGGTGTTTGTTGGCAAATCGGACCATGGGGCTGCTATAATGGCGGTAAGTCGGTCAGGCAGCTGCTCTAAAGTCGTTTTGTGCAACTCGGCAATCGCCCGAAGAAAATGAAATTGGGTCGCAGGTGTGTAAGTAGGCCGTGATTTCATGATCCAGGCTCATGTCGGCCTTTGATTTGAAGTCGGTTGTTGACTGAGATCGGATCTCGGTCTATAGTGAGGTCTGTCCGAGTTTGAGATCGGTCCGAGATGTTAATGTCAGTCTGGGCCGACTTGTGTAGGTCGGTAACGACGAGGTCTGAGATGTTAATGTCTCGCGTGGTCGGTACCGACGTTTTGTGGTGAAGTCGATTTTGCCGGGCTGTGATGAAATTGGTTTGATGGCTCAACGGAGGAAGTGAGGTCGGTACTGTCCGAGTCGGGACTCTCGGTAGTCGGCCGAAAATAACGAGGTCGGTTAATTTCGGAAGTCGGCTGGTCCCCAATGACTGAGGTCGGAGAGGCCGAAATCAATTCAGGAGTTGGCCGGGCCCCGAGGTGTGATGAGGTCGGACCTCGGTGAGGTTAATCGGAAATCTAAGCTTGAAGACGGTGAAACCAGTGACAACCAGGTCCGTTTAGATCTTCATTCGAGGTTTTTGATAAAGATGAAGGTAAAGTGGGCCCCGTGATATCAGGCGGCAGCCTCAATGTTTTTCTCCCTTCTTCTTTTTTTATTTATTTTATAAGGCTAAAGCAGACACGTGACGTGGTGTATGTTTGTCCAGCAACAATCAATGATCTTATCTAATCACTTTGTCATCTTCAAGAACAATTTATGCAGAAACAGAAAGCTTGTGCAGAACCACATCTTAGCTTGGGCATATTCACGAGCCAATGACAAACAGCCTCTTCGTAAACGATCAATTTTCATTCAAGCAGTTTTTTTTTTTAATCGTTCCTACGGATATGTTATACCGGAACTGGTAGAATAGAACCATAGAAACAGAAAAATCCAAACAGTAGTAAGAATAAGCTTGCTGGAGAGAAGTTCTCAGCAGATATGTAGCTGTTTTTGCGGCGAAGATTAACCCGAACAAATTACGGCCCCTCCTTCTAGCGCCAAACTGTTGATGCTCAAAATTTCATCAACATTGGGGGTTCAGAGGAATTTATTATGTATTTTTTGTATTAGATTTTTGTGATGATTTTTTGGTGAATTTCTGTATAAAATTAATGAAAAAGATGAAGCAGGCCTAAAACAGAAGCAAGAGGAAAGAATGCCTCTGCAGCACCGCCTCCATTCTTTCTCATTAGAGAGAAAAAATGATTAACGCCCCTCAGACCTTCTCTCGATGATGTCCATCATCGGGGTATTTATATATATGTTTAATGTGCCCGATATTATCACAAGCGGTATTATTTAAGGCCCAAAAATAAAATAATTCATGTAATACATATCCACGTGTAATATTTTAATAGGCTAGGCCAAAATTTGGTATCAGCACTTTATAATCAGATCTTAACTTGAATCTTATTCTTATGGCTTAACTTAGAATGTTCGAGTTCTTTCTTAATCTAGTCAACTTGATAAACTAGATTTCAAACTTTAATACTTGAACATATAACAAATTTCTAGAGTTCGTATATCTGAATTCTTAATGAACATAGACTTAGTAAATTTGAATATATTAAAAAACTTGTATAAAACTTTTAACAGCACTTACCGGGTAGTTGATGAAGTGTGAGCGTGGTGTGGTCGGGTTTTCTTGAAATTCTCTGTAAAAACTTTGATTTCTCTGAAAACTTTCTCTTTCATAACTTAAATATTTAGTATACAGAGCATTTAAAACTCTAGCTCTGATACCACCTGTAACACCCCGCTTATCAGAGTAACTTTTTCGCAACTTTTACTTCGAAATTACTTTAACTCTTTCGAAATCTTTTGCGACTAACTCGGGATGCTACTCAAACTCATCATCTTGAAAATCTGTTTATCTTTAAACTTTTGCCTAATACTTCTTTATACATAAATAAAACAGATTTCCTTTAAACTTGCATTTAAAATACCATAATCAAATTTCTTATAATGGTAAAAACTTGAAATCTGAAATTTATTAAAATGCAAGTTCAATACGTAATGTGCATAGCGGAAATACTTGAAAACGTGGTTAATTATACAGATTGTTATAAATGTCCTCATCAAAGCTTGTCTTCATCTGAGTCCACGATCCACACCAACACTGCTCCACTCACACCTCCTCTTCGACCTGTTACCTGAAACTAAAACTCATGGGGGTGAGTAACGAATATGGATAATCATAAACTGATATCTGATCGGTAACTTAAACTTTTCTCTTCTCTTGCCGATAATTAATCGGATACGTGTGCACACTCTGATGGATATTTCTAAGGCAACTCAGGCGGCCTCCATCAGAACTTAGGATATAATCTCTGAGAACAAATTAATGCCTCCTCATCCTAAGCATAATAATCTTAAACTTTAGGATATAATCTGAGACAACTGATGGTCTCCACATCCCATATGACATCAATATCGTACTCAATGTGATACCCGTTCAGGGTCCCCACCTTTTTGTCTTTGAAATCATTTGAAATACGATAAGTGCTGTACTGGTACTGTATCTGCAAGTTACATCAAATATAAACAAATATACTAAGTACTATGTTCGTACACTCAATAAGATTTTTAAAATTATTAACTTATCCAAATCTTATAGAAATTCATTAAACTTGTTTTTTTTTTTGACCGGAAACGCCCGTCAACATTTATACGTAACTTCTCTTTTTACTTTTACTTAAGGCCAATTACTTAATCTTATATAAATCATATCTTCATAAACATCAATATGGTATTATACTTAGCATATCATAACTCAAATGTGAAAATAACTATATTTCACATTATACTTGATTGAGTATTTAAACTTAAAACATGCTTACTTTTACCAACATCATCAACATGATTTATAACTTATCTTAATTTAACTCGATTAACTATTTAATTCATCATACATCATATCTCCCAATTTTTAGATATTGGCTTATACTAAATTTTCACTTAATTAACTTGAAAGTGAAAATAATCTCAAGCCATAATCATCTTTTAATCCTAACTTTTAATCTTGATATTAATATGTCATACTTAATACAATCTTTATAATATTGTATACTCAACATATTATACCAAAACTTCATCAAATTACTCATCACTTATATGAGAATTATTCATGATCATCTCATTTTAAACTTAACTTTAACATATGTACTCTTCACATATATATAAAGTTACCATAAAAATTTCACTTTAAAATAATACTCATATATTAAGATATATTATTTCAAAGTTGAAAATATAACAAAATATTCAACTAACTTGTATGCTTGCTTTTAAAAATCTATATCTCATGCTAAACAAGTTCAATAAAGATAAAATTTAAACAGAAAGTTCTTAACTAATATATAAATTGACCATAAAATTTCCAACTCAAAATAATATCAATAGGTAGGGTAATTAAATACTACAAGTCATCATTACTACACAGATTTTTCACTGGACAGCACCTTAATCAATGATTTTTATAAAATTCATTTTAACTTCAAATAATCTAATAATTTTCAGTATTATTCTCAGCATAATGATGATGTCATATAAAAATTTTCATAAATTTTAGAATTTAATAGCTTGGTCAAAAACAACAAACATAAGCAGCTGCAACATGAACTTTAAATAATCTTAATTTATAATCTTATTTTATATACTTATGTATATAAAATTTATAATTTATAAACATGATAACATATCAAAATCACATATAAACACTTATAACTCTTAGCTATAATTGATGATATCAAAGTTTGAATACATACCTCTTCTATTTATAAGAAAAGAAACTTGCTCCAAGTATTTCTTGAAATTGCTCGGTTTCTCTCTTAAAAACTCGATTCTTACTATTTCTTTTTCTTATAACATAAAAATCTGAATTTTTGTGGTGTAATTCTACCATTGATGAATGCTCCTATTTATAGGAAAGTTTTAGGGGACAAATAGCACCAAGATTGAATTAAATATCATTTAAAATACTAATTTCTTCAACAAATATGCTAAATAATGTCCCACTCTTAATTTTTAATTTAGTTGACTAATATTATTAAATTTATCAGCTCAATCAATTGCATAAAATAACATAAAAATGAGTCATCATTAATATAAAAATTAAGATGCTTCAGATGATGAAGATTCTACAAAATAAAAATAATTTCCACAATTTATTTTTTTATTTTTCTTTTTAATCCCGAATTTTCTAATAAAATCAGAAAATAATTTTCAAAAATAATATCTCTAATATATAAATCATTTACAAATGATTTAATGAGGAAAAACATGCTTAAAAATAACATAAACACTTTTATTTTTCTAATAATAGCATAAATTGTAAAAATTCACAATTAATTAAAATTATGCTATTCTTAATCTTTAAAAATCCATAATAACTAAACTTTTATGCTTAATAAAATTTAGATATCAATAATAAAATTTTCGAAATCAAAATCGGACTTAAATTCCATTTACGATTGAAAACCGAAGATTTTATTATAATCTCTACTATTCTCGATTATGAATTTTTTTTTTAACTTAATCTTGAAATACTTTACGTATTATCTATACTAAATTAATCACTCTTACTGATTTACCTTATAACTTTTTACTGCGGTAAATAAATTTTTACTGCGGTAAATAATTTTTACTGACTTACTAAAATATGGGGTATTACACAAAATCTCACAAAAATACGAGCATCACACAATTTATCATAATTTATATACTAAAACAGCGATTAAACAATTTCATTAATTCATAACTGACTCGTTTTTCAACGAATCCGTCCGAAGTCTTCGCTATGAGACTAAGGACAATTCAAGTTCCAACCCACAGCGACTCTATCACGATTCGACGAGGTCTCGTTCGATTTCATCGAATCGACGAGTTCTTCCACACATACAACATTATTTCCTTTAGCAATTTCAAACACACATATAAATCCTATGAACACAAAAGTCACATAATCATATTCACAGGTATTCAACGATCTCTTTCAACAATAAAAAACACAACATACACGAGACGAAAAATTTAAACGAGATGAGTTGAGCCTTATACCGTTCTCGGGAATCGAACAAAAACGGAACAAGGGATCGACGGCTCGAACGGCGGCCTAGGCTCACGAAAATCGAGACGCTGTGATGCGTTGATGACGCTGCTGAGATGCTCGCAGCTTGCAGGTTCGCCAGAAAATGGCTGGTCGCAGCGGAGCAGTTGTCGAGTTGCGGGGCTTGCCGGAATTCGCGAGGTGGCTGCGGTGGTGGCTCGTGGTCGCGGATGTTGCTGGACTTCGTCGGAAGTGGTCGTCGGGGTCGCCGCTGGTCCGTGGTGGTTCACCGCGAGAGGGGCATGACTGATGGGTTCACGGCGATTGGCGGCTGAGATTGAGATGGATGATGATGACGATCAGGAATTATGGAGGAGATGAAGGCGATATGATGGTGATCAGGTGGTGATGGCGAGGAGGGTGAAGGAGAAACTCAGAGAAACTATATGGAGATGAGGGTGATGATCGGTGAGGGATTTTACGAGAGAAAAAGCTGCG